ATGTGCTGTCCAGAAAAAAACACTTAAATATTACTGGTAAAATAATATTAGCATTTACTTTTTTTGTACAGTAATATTGATACCTAATATAATGTGTATTGTTTATTTAGTAAATTCTAGTAGTTTAGAGATTTTGATATTTTTTGTAAAATTTAAAAGAATAATTAAACAAATGTTACTACACCCAAAAGTTTTTTTCTCAGTGTACTGTATCATCTCAGTTAGGACAAAGAGAATGAGGTGGAGAGGACAGATGATGGATCAAAGGGAACTTACGGTGCTCACGGTGACTCTGAAAGGTGCAGCGAGGACGGACGCTGCCTCCACAGAGGCTGTGGTCTTCTCTGAGGAGCCTGGCATACTGCGCCGGCGTCCAGTCCGCTCTGAAGTAGACTCTGTACACACAAACATATCTTTATGTGACATGCTGTATAAATACTTGAAAACTAAATATCCATACATTTTGGCAAAAATACACATTTGTTTGAGAATAACCGGAGCCTTTGGATCACATGGGATTAGATTGGCCTTTTGTGTGTCTATTAGTCCTCACACTGATTGGGACTTACATGTTTGTTTAAAAATATTACTAAAATATCTTTCAGCTTTGTAAATGGTATTCAGAGCATGTCATTTTTCATTCTCTTTTCATGATGCCATATTTGTACTGATGTAAAAAATACAACAACATTGCGTTCCTGTTTCTTTTTCAGCCTTAGATAAGTATCAGAGGTTTGTGCTCGTGTGCAGAGGCAGCAGATCTGGACATGTTTAGGAGGAATGCTTGGGATATGACGCCTGCAAGTCCTCACAGATTTCACAGAGCCATCCCTTCTGCTGGCTCCTCAACATAAACAATGCAGTCTGAACTGGTCCAAAGTTTTAATGTCTTATTTAAGTAGAAAAAAGTCAGAACGACTAAGAAACTAGGCCGGAGATGGTGATATAACCTGTCCTCATTAAAGGTCTATGAGTGGTCACAGCATCACTCGGGAGAACTGAAATCATTTAAATGAGTCTGTAAGAAGTGAGGAAGAGTGTATCTCTGCGCTATGACCTCACACAGATCATCTCTCACGACTTCAGGAGGAATCACACTGACTTTTATCTAACCTGACCTGGCAGCTCTATTCACTGATAGGAACGATTATAGAGCCTCAAAACTCATCACTTACTTGTAATACTAACAAACAAAATGTCAGGATCTACATTTTGTTTATAGTATTTTATGTTTATCATTGGTTTTATTTACGAGTTTGTGATTTTTATGTTTAGTTTACGTATTTTAGTTCTGTTTTCTGTGCCATCCTTCCCCTCAGCCAGTTTCTGCTCACTCAGTCAGCCTGCCATGCCCAGTCACATGTTTATTTTATTTATTTAACTGTGCAGAATAATCTATGCTCAAGGGAATATAAATGTGCCAAATTTTACACATTGGCTAACGTTCCTCATTTACCTCAATTAAAATAAAAACAGTTCATAAAACAAGTGTACAAAGCACAACAACTTAAAAAAAGCCTAAAAGAATCCATGAAAACAAAACACACGATTCTGGTTTTGTTGATCACAGCTGCAGCCACTCGTCCCATCAGCCTGCATTTGTTTAATTCCCCAGTCTTTATCCATTTCCTCAGTTGAGCATTATGCATTCTCATGCCAAGTCTGGTTTCTCCTTGTGTGCCTCCCTGTGTCAACTCCTCAATTTAGTAGGTTTTTGCTGCCTGGTCAACCTTTTTGTTTTACATATTATCATGTTTGTTGAGGATGAAACCCAAGGTGAAGAACGATCAAAGGACAAACTTAAAGGTGAATATAGAAGACTTTTAATAACAAAAACAAAGGCTGTCGAGGCAGCAAAAAATACTTCAAAAAATTTTCAAAAGATGGTACAAGAAAAGATAAATAAAACTCTGGATCAGAAATCACGAAGCCCAAAGCAATTGAACACAAAATGAACTAACGGGGAGCAAGAGACCAAAAACAGAATATAAAGGCTAACTAAAGAAGAAGAAATGATAAACACCTGGGAGACAGGGAGCATCAGGTGAGTCAGTGTGGGCGGGGCCATAGCAGAGACAGACAGGAGATATGAGAGTGAAAAAACAGGAAGCAGAATAAAAGAACATAATAAAAGAGAGGAATTATCTAGAAAATAAATTCAAGGAACTAAAAGCTGTGATCAACACTCAGACTCAGTTTTGTTTGTTGAGTTCCTCGAGCTGCTCTGCATTTTTAAAGGCCAACACAAAAAAATGTGAGTTTTGGGCAATGAAGAAATGTAAAGTTATATACTATAACAACCTGTTCTTAATGTTTTGCCTGGCAAAATAAAGTTTAAAGGGGCAATATCAGGTAAAATCAACTTTTTTGAGTTATATTTCATGTTATAATGTTATACTCTCATAAAAAACATGCCCAAAGCCTTGCTCTGACTCATTCATGCATGTTTGAGAAATCCTGCAGTGTTTTTAGGAAGCCATGCTGAGGAGCAAAATGACAGGTGTCTGCTGAGCTCTCAACACTACTTCTCACTCAGTGAAGCTCTTTTCAGATTAAGGAAATGTGTATTCAGATGCCAAGTAAACTCCATCATAGCACCCCACCCCCCCGCACTTAAATGGGCGAGACAGAAGCGGAAGGAGGTTCTTAAAGACACGGAGGCCAATTTCAAGGCGTTTAGAAGAGGAAGTGATGAGAAAATAAGTTTATTTTCTATTTAAACATAAAAAAGCATTTTAATAACAACTAAATGTGACATAGATACTTTACTATGGTATAGTATTTAAATGTATGCCTGAGAAACACATAATATTGCCCCTTTAAATAAAGAGCTGTGTGGGAATAAATCATTTATTTTATTGTTGGTGTCCCAGCAGGGCCTAACCCTTTTGTCACACCTGTTTTCAGTTACATTCTGAACCTAAAACAAGTGTTTGGTGAATCCTAACTCTCCACCCTCGGCAGGAAGGTCAGGTGTTCTGTTTCAGGCTGAGTGGAGTCAAACATCAGCTGGTACCAGGACTTCCTGCAGATGGAGCTCAGCCACCCCTGCCTCACCTCGACACAAACACAGCCGCTTCTGAGTTGTAAACATCAGAACCATCTTTAAGCTCTTGTTTTTAAATGTAATTGGAATAAAGAGACTGGGCCATGCGTGGTCCATTTAGAGCAGGGAGGTGGAGCGGTTTGACAAGATCAAACAAAAACTCTCTTTACCTCTTTACATTTGCATCCTTATCTTTTTTCTTTCTGTTTGGATCTAATGCAAACACTGGCACCATGACAACGAGAGATGAAATCTTTGGAGACCCAAATGCTATTATTAAAACTGATAAAGGTAATTATCTGCCCTGAGTGAACAAATGAAGTCAGCGGTGTGAATTTTAACACCCAGCTTCAATAAACGTGCCCTCCGGGCTTCGCTGTGCAACAGGAACCTTCCAGCTCGAGCCCAGCTGCTTCTCTCATGGTTTAGCAGCGACGTGTGCAACTGCACTGCAGCCTTCCACATGTTTCAGCCATCTGCCTGCAAAGCGTGACCGTGTCTAACCTGCTGCTGAGACGTCTGTCTCTGCTGACAGCACAACAACTTCCAGAAACTTCAATAAAAACACAAACTTTAATGTGACTCCTGAGGAAAAACCATCAGAGACGTTCTGGACAACATGAAGGCTCTGATCTCTGCAGCATTTCCTGTTTATGGGGATGTGTGTGTGTGCGTGTGTGTGGTGTGTGTATGGGTGTGTGATGTCGAAGGAGCATTCATCAACAGCTAAGTCATTTTAAAAGGCTGTAAATTCATTTTTCCCATGTTTTTGGTCCATTCTCCTCAGCCTTCATAAAGAATTCTTGTTGTCCTTCATTACTGTCTTCTGGTCCAAATGTCCAGTAACAGTAACAGAACAGTAACAGTAACAGTACCAGTAACAGTAACAGTACCAGTAACAGTACCAGTAACAGTAACAGTAACAGTTACAGTAACAGTACCAGTAACAGTACCAGTAACAGTAACAGTTACAGTAACAGTACCAGTAACAGTACCAGTAACAGTAACAGTAACAGTTACAGTACCAGTAACAGTACCAGTAACAGTAACAGTAACAGTTACAGTAACAGTACCAGTAACAGAACAGTAACAGTAACGGCTGAAACGTCTGTTTTTGATCGTCAGAACTGTCAGATCCTTGTTTCTTCATCATCTCCTCTTCAGGAATCACATTGTGTAATCTATAACATGTCCCTGAAACTCCCTGAGCTGCTGCTCCAAATAAATCCTGTAAGTCAGTCCGGGCAGACATGGTCCACAGAACCCAGGATGGGATCAGACCAGGGGCGGGGCCACAGGGGCATTGGCCCCTGTTGAACTTTGATTGGCCCCCTAAAGTGCCCCTGTCCTGTCACTCGTGTGTCCTTTGCCCAAGAGCAAAGATGCTGGGTGCAGTTCCATGTCCAAACACTAGAGGTGCCGATGAGCCCAATAGAAAAGTCCAGCATGAATAAAGCTGACAGAAGTCCTTTTCTTTTCTGAAAATGTGAACAATCCTGCAGAACAAGTCTTTCAACTCACAAATGATGGCTGGATTCTCTCACATGCTGTGTGTTTGAGCATATTTTATCTATGTACAGTAAAAAATTCATGTGAAATTGATAAGGTGAATGCACTTTGCAAGCTTTTTTAAAATTACAAGTGTTTAAACGTGCGACTGGTTAAACACATACCTTTTACCAAAAGCAGGGATTTGTGAGCAAGTGTGCTGAACAAATACTATGAAGATTGTGGCCCGTTGATGGCCCCCTCACACAGTAAAATCCCAGATCCACCACTGGATCAGACCCAGTTGAGAATCGGCTAAGGACTGATCTGTCTGGTTTTTAACATTCAGAGATTGAACCAGTAGCGGGATCAGTAAATGGACTTTGAAAGGACACTTTGGGGGCTGTTTAATGAAAATATTCACCTCCCTGCTGAGTTTTCTCTTTGTCCATTAGGTATGAAGATTGAAACAGCAGGAGGTTCCAACAGACCAGATGCTGCAGGGCAACGATCTTCATGCTAATCTTTGCTGAACTCCTGCTGTTTCAGATTTAATATAGAAACTCTATATTCTGTTACAGAAATATACCTGTAAAAACTGAACTACTATTAGCTGATTAAACCTTTACTCACTTCAGAACATTCAGAAAGAACTAAATCTGTCTTCTTTTTGGTGTGATCCAGTGCAATATGGTCATCACGAGCATGAATGTTTCATTTTTTGTTTATTGTTGGTTTCAGTGGAATGTTTTTCAAGTAACTTCAATGAAACTGACAAAAGTGAATTTATTGTGGATTTTCTTTAATCTGCACAGGGTTTAAATTATAGATAACACTGTTTTCTTCCACACAGGAAGTGCC